AGGGCGGACTCCACGATGGGCCCCCAAGTGCCCCACACAGTCAGCTACGAGGGGCATTTGCGGTTCGAGAAGAGAGCAGAATGTACTTATATGTGTGTGTGTGTGCGTGCGTGTATATGTGTATATATATGTATATATGTATATATATATATATATATATACATATATATACACAAATATATTAACACACTCATGTGTGTCTGTATGTATCTTTGCAAACATATAAATACGCCACACACACACTCACATAACACCACACACACACACACACACACACACACACACACACACACACACACAACACACACACACACACACACACACACACACACACACACACACACACACACACACACACATATATATATATATATATATATATATATATATATGTATGTATATATATCCGCTATATCTGTGTATGTGTGTGTTGCAGCAGTAAGATAACTAATCTTCAAAACGTACGAGTCTTCCTGCATAATGATAAAAGTTATCTCTGGTGATGCGTGTGATAACAAGCTTGTTAGTCCGTAAATCACGAATATCTTAATATCACCCTACTTTTTTTTTTTTTTTTTTTTTTTTTTTTTTTTTTTTTTTTTTTTTTTACACAAAACAGTGAAGTGTTTGTGAGCTGCATGCTGGTATGCATAGTGTCTAGATCGAAGGAGTGTGGTTGCACTTGCACCACACTGATGCTAGACACTAGGCATACACATGCACTTCACAAACACTCACTTTTGTGTAAAAAAAAAAAAAAAAAAAAAAAAAAAAAAAAAAAAAAAAAAAAAAAAAAAGTAGGGTGATATTAGATATTCGTGATTTACGGACTAACAAGCTTGTTATCACCGCATCACCAGAGATAACTTTTATCATTATGCAGGAAGACTCGTACGTTTTGAAGATTAGTTATCTTACTGCTGCAACACACACATACACAGAATATAGCGGATTATATACATACATTATATATATATATATATATATATATATATATATGTGTGTGTGTGTGTGTGTGTGTGTGTGTGTGTGTGTGTGTGTATGTGTGTGTGTGTGTGTGTGTGTGTGTGTGTGTGGTGTGTGTTGTGTGTGTGTGTGTGTGTGTGTGTGTGTGCGTATTTATATGTTTGCAAAGATACATACAGACACACATGAGTGTGTTAATATATTGTGTATATATATATGTATATATATATATATATATATACATATATTACATATATATACACATATACACGCACGCACACACACACACATATAAGTACATTCTGCTCTCTTCTCGTACCGCAAATGCCCCTCGTAGCTGACTGTGTGGGGCACTTGGGGGCCCATCGTGGAGTCCGCCTGGTCGCCTTCCCTGACTGGGGCCCGAACACCGCCGCCTCCTTCAGCAATTGGCCTCCGCTCGTTGGGCTCGTGTTCATGGTTCCCTTGAGCGGGTTAGTGCAGAGAATAGGTAAGGTATACAGCTGTTCATTCGCTTGTTCATTGTATTGTGTTATACTTGAATGTCATCAGAATTGAAAGGTTTAAGGAAAAAAACTTAACGAGTGATTTTACCAAAGTACCGTTCATGGACCTTAGCTTGTTTGTCCTTCCCCAAGTGAGGGAGATTTTTTTTTTTCCTGTTTTTTTCTTTTTACAACAAAGTGCTGTCACACTAGCACTTTTTCCGTCAGTTGTTTAACAATTTATTCACAGAAATTATTTTCTCCTGATATCATCATATATGGTATATATATACTTAACTTGATTTGAGTATGCTTGGCTGAAAAAACGGAAAGGTTTTCAGACGGAAACGATCATTATCGTCTGACTGGAAAATCGACAATTTGCTCAAAAATAGACAAACATTCCGAAAATTGTAAAAAAAAAAAAAAAAAAAAGATTGACGGAAAAGTGTTAGTGTGACAGCACCTTAAGATGATTTATTGCTATCATCACTGGCAGCGTATTGCCTGGACTCGTCATGGCACTATAATCATCACAGCACACCGTATCACATCACTTTGCAGGTTTGCGAAAAGGGATACTCTGTCCGCTGGATTTCCTGGTGCGGAACGACCATACGGTGCTTTCCGTTGATGATCTTACGTTCACTGTGTGAGTTTCGTTCTTTAGTAATGTAAAAGGCGGGGACCATGTGTGTAAGCAACTTTTCACTTTCCTGTATAGATTAACACGTACATGCACTGTATGAGTGAGACTGTGTTTGTGTGTGACCCAGCTATATTTATATCTGATTACTATACTCTACATATACAATCTTACCTGTTTGTCACATACGTATCTTCACACATACATATGCATATACACCTGACCATTGCTCCACCTGCTTATTCCTCCTTACCACACTAGTCATTCCAATCTTATGTAGTCTATCCATTCCGTAAGAGCTATGTTCGTCACCGGTTGTTCGTCCACCATTGTTCGTCACCGTTGTCACCGTCACCGGTTTGTTCGTCACCATTTGTTTCGTCCACCGGTTGTTCGTCACCATTTGTTCGTCACCGGTTGTCGGTCACAGTTGTTCGTCACCGGTTGTCGTCACCGGTGTTCGTCACCGGTTGCTTCGTTCACCGGTTGTTCGTCACCATTTGTTCGTCACCGGTGTATCGTCACTTCGCGCACCCCGGTTCCGACCATATGTTCGTCACCGGTTGGTTCGTCTGCACCGTGTGGTCGCACCGTGTTTGCGTGCTTATCTGCTGGGCACGCACCGTGGTTTGTCACATTGTCGTGAACAATGTGTACGTCTGTAGAGCTGTGTGTTGATCTATGCTTCGATAGGAGATGAAGAAGACGTTCTGTCGGCGTATGGAAAGGAGCAACACCGCTCCGGGATCATTGCGCCGGCGCTCCAACATAACTATTATAAAGGAGTCAAGACCACTTTGCGTTTGTTCTACTCTTAAACCCTAAGCTCGCCTTTACCAACTTTTGCAGCCCAGCNCATGTGCGAGAGCGCACCGCACCAGTACAAGCACTGCCACCCCAAACCTCCAGCACCATTACTTATTTAAAATTTTATTGAAGTTACTTAGCCTTGAGACTTTACTTGGCGTGGATATTTTAAACCGCCTAAAAGGTTTTTACCATAGAAATAATGCGGCTACTAGAACAGAATGGAAAAAACAAGCTCCATCCGATGAGCCGACGGCGCGGGAATGGTCGTGAAATGATTCCATCCGCTACTTTGTCCACAACAGCCATGGCATGTGTACATACATGTCACCTAGCAGCATAGGGTTAAATGCAGTAATGATACAAATAACAAAAAAGATAAACAAACTAACATTATGAACTATGGAGTACACATCTGGATTCATCAACTAAAACCTTATGTGTGCAAAGATAAACTTCTCGTTAATGAACCCACCTGCAGATTCCACATTGTCTTGATGGAGCTAGTGCTGTGAACATAACAATCACAGAGTAATTGCGAGGAGTGCTCTTCACATACTGTCGGAACTTCTCACTGTTGAATCTTAATACAGGCTTCTTCAAGCCAGCATCAGAAAGTTGCTGTACTCGCTCGGAGAGGCTAAGAAAAAAGCAGGTAAATTCATTACGTGATTTAAAAGAACAAAAGAAGAAGCATGTAAGATCTGATTCATTTGATTTCAATTTACTAAATGGATCTACAAAGCGAGAGGAAAACTAAAGCTATTCACACATTATCACACTAACTATAAGTTTTGTAATAATTAACTGCATCTTTATGTTATTAACCTCCTAAAATAAACTATAACTTTGGAAATATTTGAGTTACACAGGTGATACTGGTACATTATAGCACGTACAACTGGTAGTGCTGAGAGTGTGCCCAAAGTACTGTAATACTATTATTTATCACTTTCAGATGTAGTACTCTTGGTACAAACAATAAATAAAGACAAAATTAAATGAAGAAACAATACAGAAAATCAACAAACCAACACCAAAATATACTCATTTTTCCAAAAGTTAGAAAAAAAACTGAGTGAGATACTCGACGCCGCAACATACACTTATTATTTCTATCCACAGTAAAAGCCCTGGATTAGCCAAACTCCCCAGCAATCCACAGCACCTAGTATCTAATGAGCATCCTTTTCTACACGAAATGACGCTTGATCATGTACGAGCACAACTACAACCACACAAGAGCCACAAAGACAACCATGGTGTCGGATGTACGCGTCAACACACGCTATATCTTGATTGCGATCTGTAGATCTTAAGTAACTCACCCCCCACTGGTAATAAATCCATATACTGTTTTGCTCTTCTTCGCCCCCCACGTTAGCCATACCCGCAAACTTTGTACAAGGCCAGTCCACCTGTATCGTTCTCATACCAAATTCTTTCTACTCACGATTGGAATTAGCCAACATACAGACAGAGTCTACTAAAAAACGATATTAGACCTACCCGCATTAATTCCTTATTTATTGTGCAAAAACAGCAATAAAACTTCAACAGACTATAAGTATAAAGTGCCAGTCTGGACCATCTACGTGTGGTCAGTTCTCTATTTCAAAAGTCCTTTCTTTTCTCCATCTTTAAAGTACACACACAACCTTCCACTTCGCATCCTTCCAACCTACATCACAGCAGCACCATGCACCATTACACAACAGGGCCTAAAATTATCCCATAACAACAAAAAAAGATACATACTTGTAAGGTCTACACCTGCCTCAATGGATGAAGAATTAAGAACTAATTATCAACTCCCAAATAATCACGTAGACTTCCATGACGGCGACAAGAAACTTAATACATGGCTCAACTAGCCACAAAATAGCGAAAGCCCCAACTGTTACAATATACATGCCAACCAAACGAAGCGAATACTTCCTCTCACAATCTCTCATATTCAATCGTCAACGTATTTACGAGTTTCTTCATGCAAAATACACAAAAGCTTCTTACTAGTCTCAAACCAAATCTATCTGCGATCATTGTAAAAAGTGTCATACAAAAGTTCATATCTACGCTACTACAGTCTGGGTTAGAACGCTAACTACCGCAAACAACCGAGCACAATTCACCGATCTAGGGAATACACATGAACCTGGTATGTGCGCGGTATCCTGGGGGTGAAGCGCCCTATGGCACACAGGAACGGATTTTATACGTTCAATTACTAAATGATCCATTTGATGTGACGTCTCAGCGCTGTATCTCTGGGATGTGTGGCACCACTCCATCAAGCAGCAATTACCTGTTTGTGTTAGAAGCACCTTGTCTCTGAGCGTATTGAGCCATCCTGTTGTAAAATTTTTATCCAGGTACGTATCAACTGATATTATTTTCCGTAAATTGCATACCATCATAACTATCAAAGCCAAAGTTGCCACTTTAAATTCAATAAAATCAGAGGAGATAAGGAATCCTGACAAATGTCCAGAACAGGACGGCATGCAAGCAATGACATGGCTTCTGTGCTTTACCAAATTCAGCAGGACACCAAATTTTCAACCCGTTTATGGCAAGATAGAGCTTACTATTATTTGAAAATATTTACCATGGTGGACTACAAATTTTGTGGCACATACAAAAAAAGTGATTTACTTGTAAGTGATCCTGAATCAAACAGGCAAACAAACAAACAAAAAAAATAGTCTATCTTTGTGCAGTCCATTCTGGACATGTACTGGACTCTCTTTATATACAAATTCTTTTTGTATTTACAGTTGGACTTATGCCAAAGATACACCAAATATCCTTATTTTCTTCCTCTATAATGATCTATTCTAATTAATTTTGAAATAAGTCTTCACTTAATATATGTAAGAGAATTTACAAAGGTAAATATAACACACAGGTCTCTGACAAGATAATGAAAAACTAAAGTCACATAACAATCAAGTATAAAGAAATTTAGAAAAAAACAGCAAAAGCTCTAAACCATCACCGGCCAACCACCTGCACGCAACAACTCCACAACGCTATCACCACCAGCACCGCACCTCCACCACCCATCACACCACTTCCACTACCACTGCCACCCACCACCACTGGCACCTCCCAACAGACCATTACCACACCAACCAGCAACAGCACCATCATCAACCGTCACTAACACACGAGCACCATCATCAACCAAGCACCTCCACAAAACAGCACCAGCGCCATCTCCACCACCATAAATCACACACCTCCGCCCACCAACAGGTTCAGTGCCCTAAGAAGGGCAGTACAGCCAATATCGTGCGATTACTGAAGGCCATGTGTGTGTGTATGTGTGTGGTGTGTGTGTGTGTGTGTGTGTGTGTGTGTGTGTAGTGTGTGTGTGGTGTGTATACTATGTATCTATAACCGCTGATGTATATACTATATATAGTTATATCTATATTATATATATATATATATATATATATATATATTCAATACATATAATATATATATATAGTATATATATATTATATATATATATATATATATATGTATACTATATATAAATAGTGTATAATATATATAATATATATATATATTATATATATATATAATTCAATTTATTATTAGGAGGTTATCATTAAATCTCGTAGATAATAGTTTTTAGTTTCTATATGCAACCTAATGTTATGGTGCTTCGGGTGAGGTTAAATTGGACTTATTGGTAAAAAATAAAGACAATTTATTCTAATATGTTATATAATTCTATATATATATCCCTTAATATCAACTAAATAGTTAATAGTGTATATTATAATATAGATGGTTATTGTTATAGTCTAAGGCAGGTGAGGTATAATTCTTTGATATACTACATTTTACTAGGAAAAATCTAGACATACTAATCATGAATAGAAATGGGAAAAAACTACGTATTCACTTGACACTATGAATATATAATGTTGATAGATATGAGCAAAGAATAAAACGTCAGAAATAAAATGAGAAATATAGGTCACGATCAAAATATCTGCACAGATAGTTATTATAAAGGCACAAGTGATTCGACTGAGTGAATATACCTCAGGGGTATGAAGCTCTTGTATAGCAGCGTAATTATTAATACATAGTGAAGGGTGAAGGTTTACTGGGGCGCAATAGATCCTCAAAGTTAGAAGGATAATATTGGTTCTCATACAGTGATGTTTCCTGGATCAGTCAAAGAGTGGCTGGAGTTAATAGGACTTATACTGTGGAAGTGAGGTGAAGTTATTAACCTGATTAAAACTTTAATTTTTATTTATATTCAATATTTAAATTTAGGTAAATATACACTAGAGAGAGGAGCATCATCAATCACAGAACAAATATGTAAAAGGTGAGTATTTTCATTTATGAGCTCGAGCGTGGATATATAGAATTATTATTTCATATTTTTTCATGCGTCAGCTATACATAAATATTTAATCTTACTCATTTGCAACAGACTCGAGATTTGGCTGGACAGGATGATGTAAAACAAAATGTATACTCTGATGGTAATAAGGTCAAATATAAGCTAAATAATTTTATCAAAATATAGTAGACAACATATAATGATTTTTAACCAAAAGAATT